TTTAAAAAATGGCGTATCTAAATTATTTAATAAAGTATAAGAATCAGATTTAAAATCTGATTTCTTATATACTTTATTGAAGAGTGATATACAGAATGAGCCTACTGTAATAATATGTTAGATAAAGGGTTTATTGAAAAGTTGCGACATAAAACTGAGCAAAGTTATTTATTGCATATTGACTACATCACAATTATGTTGGGAACGAGGAGCATTTAAAATTTTGTATTGCTTTCATTTATTTTCAATGTATGTATGTAATACAACATTTATTCTCAAAAGGAAAAGTGTGAACAAAAATGCCCAGATAAAATAAAATAATTATTTTACAAATTTAAATATTAAAAAAAAAGTGTTTATTAATTTTTCTTTAAATTTAATTTTTTTTTAAATTTATTATAAATTTTATGAATATTTTATTTTTATATGTATTTTAAACCTTATGACAAATTTAAAATATCATTATTTTAACACCCTAAGGGACAAACGAAAGAAATATAAAACAAAACTTTGAATACTAATAAAGTTGGGTCAAACCAATGGTTTGTATTGTAGCACTTTTCCCTTCAACAAGTGAAAATTCTGCTTTTAAATACAGTCTATGTATATCCACCACACTATTAAAATTATTTTTATTCATATACAAAACTATTTCTAGGGTTGCATATATTTAGGATGAACGATTTATGCAGTCTTTGAAATAAAGCAAAAATTAATATAAAGTGGGGTTAACATAATGCTCGATTTTAAGGTTTAATTGTGTGAGTTAAGAAAAATAATTATATTTTTTAATTTCATGGAATTTACCGTTAACTTTTTGCGTTTATAGAAATTTGAAAAAGCTTGCGGTTTCGGAAATACAAGGTGTCAAATTTTAAAATTTTACAAATTTCAAGAGGCGATAACTTGAGAGGGGGTGGAGATGGAAAAAAATTTTCTTCTAATGAAATGAACTTTTTGATAATGTCTAAAAGCTCCTAAAATTTCAAGCTTCTACAGGCTGGGGTTTGGAAGATAAACGACATCAAAAATTTGGAAAAAAACGACTTTAGATAACGGTAAATTTGAGCGGCCATTTTGTTTTTCTAAGGTTTAACTATAGTATACCGCGGTAGGGGAAGCAAGCAGCTGCCTTTCTGTGTTTGCAAAATTTCAAAAATGCTTATGGTTTCATTGCAACAAATAGTTAAAAAAGGCCATTTTTAGGGGTTTGGTGGGGTATAACTTCTAGAGGGGAGGAGATAGGTAAAAATTTTGTTCTACAGAAATAAGTTTCTGGTAAAGATCTATGTACGTACAAAATTTCAGCTTTCTATCTTCAAGGGTGTAGAAGTTTTGTAAACAGACACACGGACAGACGGACGGACGGACGGACGGACGGACGGACGGACGGACGGACGGACGGACGGACGGACGGACGGACAGAGTGAAACTAATAAGCACTTTTTTTCAAAAAATTTTTGGAAAAGTGCTAAAAACAAAAACAATAAAAATGGAGGAAAAAAATTCATTTTCTTTTCTGCCTTATTGTGTGAAAAACTAAAATATCCTTGTGTATTCTTTTGATATCAATTATGTATGTATAAGTACAAAATGTAGACTTGTGATGTTAAAAGGAAGAAGTATGGAAAAAAGAGGGCAAAAACAGATGAAAAGTATAAAACAGAAAAGATTCTGTTGGTGTGTAACTGTGCTGCTCGCTCTGATTGCTTTTTTTTTATTTGAATTTATTTTTTTTGGCTATAAAGACAGTTGTAATATGCATTCAGGAAATACTCCAAAAAAAATGGAAACAAGAGAAATGAAAATGAAAAAATTAAAATCTCAAAGGCGTGACACAAAAGTCATGATAGAAATTAAATTGCTGAAGTTAAAACTGAAATATTTCAGAACAAGGTTCTAAGATTTCTACACACAAATATAGAAATAAGTGCAAAATATACTGTATCCATGTAATTTCGTGTTAAACAGTCTCTTGAAATAATAAATTTCATTATTTATTTATAAAAGTACAGAATAGAAACTCATATAATATATTTTTACATTTGGATAAAATCAAAACTTTACAAAAAAGCATAAGTCCTTTTAAACAGACTTAAAACATAAGAGATAACTTCTCTTTAAAAATCAAGCTTAACTTAAAGTGTTCTCTTTAATAGGCCAAATTTATTAGCAAACATTAAAGCAGTTCGAACTTAACTTTTGAAATAGACGCTTAATCGATTAACTGGACAACATATTTATTAATTATTTTTTTGCTATTTTAACTGCAAAATCTGATGAGATAAGTTGGCGAAAGTACGTAAGATTATGCAAATTTCCCTCAAACACTTATTTCAGTGGTTAAGAACGTTATAGGAGGTTAATATTTTTCTACATTTATAAACATAAATGCTAATTTAGCTCGTAATAAAAGTCAACTTGCAGACACTTGATTTCCAGGGAAAGTTTGATAATTTATCATGCAAATTATTCGTCATACAAATTAAATTCGTTTAATATGTTTTTTTTTTAAAGTGAAGAAAAATTATTCAGTAAAGGCATAGTTCTTGAGACCTGAAATATTCCAAAAACTAATTATTCCGCGATATAAACATTTTTATAATCATTTTTAAATTTCTTCTGATTTCTACTTATAAACAACACATAAAATTAATCCAAAAAGGAAAATTATAATTCTAAAGTGCACGGTTTTTCTTCATACATATTTTGTATTTTATTAACAAAAATGTGTATATAAAAAAATTATGAACAATTTAGTAAAATGAAAAGTCAAATAATATTTATTATAACAATATACATAATATGTATATTGTTATACAATAATATACATATGCATGTACATGAATTAAATATACATATAGTTTACATTGATTCAAACATACATTATGTATTAAAGTATACAATTGTAAACATTTACTATTATACATGTATAACATTAATATTAACGTATGTAATATAACATTGTAAGTATGTATGCATGTATATGAATTTATTTATTTTAATGTTACACAATATGTAAACTATATGGCGTCTAAAAGGACACCCAGACAAATATTTGACGTAAGAAGGAATAAATTATAACAATAAAAAAAAAAAACAAATAAAAAAAATTAAAATAAAATCTGATATAAAAGTATGTATATTTGTATGTAAATATGTCAAGCGCAAACATACATAACTTTGTTCATGTTAACTATAAGATATTTTTAAACAAAAAACCTAATAAATATTAAATATAAATTCACAAAATAATAATTTGCCGAATTTGCTATTTGTCGAAAAAATGTTTGAAGTGAAGAAAATGTTTTCTCTAATTCGAAAAAAAAACATAATTTAAGTTAATGTACCAAACATTGATAAATCCAATTAAGAATTGAAAATTGATTTCTGACGTAGAAGCTTTTCAAAAAATATTTGACGTATTTTATTTGAAGTTTAAATGATTTTTCAACTAAATTACCTAGCAAAACTGCTTGACAGTTCAAATTCCAACGCTTTGTTAACTTTGTAAATAAAATGTCATACACCGCAAATGCCAATAAAATATTTTCAACTGTTTCTTAATTATATGGTTGAGTTCAGTTCTTGTTGTTTTATTCTTTATGATCAGCTATTTCCAAAAATTTTAGTATGAGTTCGTGCTAACAAAATTATAGAAACTTTTAATGAGTTCAACCTGGAAATTTATCGCAAATTATTCAAGTTTCTTGTAAAAAAAAAGTTATAATTTTTATAACGAAATTAATAAATTGTGATGTAGAGTCTAAATTCCATTTCTGTCTGATGTGTAAACAGTCTTCAAACTTTATAGCAGATTTAATTCTAGGTTTTATCGTATATGTAAACAGTACAGTACAATCACATACACAACTCCTGAATCCTTTATTCTCAAAACTTATAATATCCCATTGATCTTCTCTTTTCTAATTTCTATCACTTCATTAAATATTTTATAAACGAATTCTCAAATAATTTATTCTCTCGGTTTCTTGAATATACGAATTTACTCACATACAATATTACTACCATTAAAGATAGAAGTAAATTAATAAACCAAAGCGAGGAGTTTTTTCTTGTTATTTTATATGGGTTGAAGAATATGTCAAGTAGCTATTAATGAAAAAATATTGAAAAAGAAAATTTCGAATATTGACTGACGTTGGTTATTAAAGCAAAAGCAATACAAGATCGTACAAAACAAAGACAATAAAAGCAATAAAGTGAATGGGCGCATGTATGTAAATTGAATGAGGGAAGAGTGTGAAGAGTTACGATAAATAACAAAAGAATTAATGTGTGTTTCATTTGTTTTCTCTTTTTGTTTGTTTTGTGATTGTTTCCTTTTTTCTTTTTATACTAATAAAAATATAAAATTACATATTTTGATTTTTTATTTACTCATGATTTAAAATAATTAAGGCAAAGTTAAATAAAACAGAAAAACGGATGCTATAAAGTTTTTACAATAATAAAATATTTTTAATACAATTAAGCCTCCAATTCTTGAAAAATTTAGCTATTTTGGGTATATCGTAAGGAATAGAATAAAATTGGCAATTTTTTATTAAATGTATTAAAAAGATCTGCTATCAGCAACAAAAAACCACCTTAAACCTAAGATATTTGAGACAAACACCAATTGTTAACTAGAAAATTAGCAAGAATTATAGCGATAGAATTCCATAATTTATTCTGATGATTCCCCTGGAAAACTTTTAAAAACTTAATATGAGACACGAAAGAAGTTGTATCATTAGCCATTAAGGGCTATTATAGGCTATTTATTATAGACCATCAAGTATTTTAGTATTATATTGTTTATATGTTGAACGGTGGCAAATGTTTTTACTCCGACATGAGATTTCAAGCAACTAATATCATTTATAAATATAAAATATTAATCAAACAATTATTTATCCAAGTACACTGACATTTTTTTTATTTTTAAAATAAATTGAATGACAAGTAGTATAAAAATTTTACTTTTATTTTTTCAGGTCACCTTCATATCAATTGGCTGAAAAAAATAAGGATAACACAAAACAATCAAATATACAAAAAGGAGCTCCATTAGCAGATCCAGAACAAATTTCTGATTTATCAACAGCAGGGCAAAATTTATTACAAGCAGGAAATCAATCAACTACAATTCATTCCCCAACAAATGGCAACATTGGTAATAAAGGATCTTCAAATCAACATGGTAAAAAATTTTCTTCTTTCATTCCAAATCTATAAACAATATAAAAATAAATTTAATTACATATGTATATATTTATTCTTTTTAGACTCCGTAACTAGCACACCACAAACTCTCGATGCACCATGTGATATACCACAACCAGCATTTGTTAATAATCTTCCACCAAATTTAATTACATTGCAAGGTAAACCAGTAAATAGTCGACGAACAGAAAGAGACAGAAAAATTGTTTTATATTTATTATCTGCTGATAATGAACACAAAAAAGAAAAATCAATATTACACAGCATATATCCTAGTTTACAACAACGTGCCTCATATCGAGGATTTGAAGTTTTGATATCGAATGCACATGGAAATATTGAGACTGATAGCAATTATAATAATAGTACAGCTAATGGCAGCAATAATAGTTCAAACGATAATATGGATGAAGAGAAGAAATTAGCAAAAATTTTAGATATAGATAAATGGACAGATAGACCACATGAAGCACAAGGTGGACATGAAGAAGCTGCCAATTGTTTAGCTGAAATATCACGTCATTCAAATTTCTCATATATTATACCCGTATTATTTTTGGGTACATCGCTTGGTACACCGCTATTACCATTAACAATTGAAAGTTCAGATTTTACAAGCGCATTAAATACAGCGGATACAACTAAAAAGAAATCATTATTAGAGAAATACTATAAATTAGATAGTACAGCACAACCACCATGTTATCGTTTAAATTCAACATTTGCTCAATCACAATTATCAGATTTAGATGCAACCAATTCTGAATTAAATGATTTATTAACAGCTCTTATTGAAATTTTTTCAAAAGAATTAAGAGACTCATATTTAACGACGGTTGTTGAATTAGAAATTAACAATACGGTATTGATTAGTCAAGAATTATCAAAACGTTGTGTTTGGGTACAGACTGGTAGTCAACCACCTAAATTGTCAGACAATCCAACATTATTAGAAGTTGAAATGAATCGACGTTTAATATCAATTCATAGCGACCTTAAAAATCAATTATCAGAAAAGAATTTAATACGGATACCACCAACAATACAAGTTCAAGAAGATCAATTAGCTGCAATAATGGAATCTTTAATAAATACTGTAATTGATGCCATTGTTGAGGAGCATGCTCATAAATTTTCAATACCAACATGCACGTTTGGTGTTGATAAAAGGCTGTTAAGTGAAATTGAAATGGTTAGTCAATATTCAAAAGTTTTAGGACAGAATTGTGCAAATTTTGCTATAATGGACAAAGTAAAAAGGTACAAAAATCTAAAGTTTAAAATTTTTAAAAATTTATAATGAATTTTTCATTTTAGTTACTTAAGTGGATCAACAGCAGCTCCGTTAATTATTTATGGTACCGAAGGATGTGGAAAAAGCGTATTAGCTGCTAAAATTATGCATACTGTACATGCACTGTTACCAGAATGCAGTTTGATTTTAAGGTAGCCAACCATGTTCATCATATTTTGTCTTATTAGTGCCCCCATAAATATGCTATGAATTTTATTAATTTTGTTTTATATCTTATTATAGATATGTCAGTCTTACCGATCTTTCTAGACATTTAGTTTCACTAATTGGTTCCATAGCTGAACAAATTTCTGTAATAACATTAAATGAACCATGCCGAGTTAATCATGTAAGTTACAATACAACTTTTTCAATATAATGAACGTATAAAAATTTTATATTTTGTTACGTAGACTTTAGAAGCATATTCAGAATTTATTCGAACTACTTTAGAAACAGTTAAACATACTCTAGTTATTGTAATTGATTCTTTGGATGAGTTAATCGGTACTGAAACTATAAGTTGGCTTCCAACAAAACTTCCATCAAATATAAAAATTGTGATAACAACCGCAATATCAGCCAAATCATCAAATTGGTTATTAGATAAATTGAAACAAACCGATATACCAAAAGAAAATTATATTGAATTAACAAAATTCTCTGATGAACAATGGCGTGATGTTTTAAGTTATGGAGGTGGCGATTTTTATGCATCAAATGGTACATTACAATTACCAGAAAAGTGGCGTACAGCGACAGATAAAACACCATTACAAGCAAAAGTATTATGGTGGCTTGCGTGGTTAGGTGTATGTGATATTGAAGATACCACAACCTCAAAAATTGTTGAAAAAATTTTCGATACACTAGAAATAAAGTTTGGTAAAGAACTGACAGAATTTTTGATAGCAATGATTGTTGCGGGAAATGGAATTTTGGAAACAGATTTAATACAACTTTTGGATGAATCGAAAATCGTAAAAGGTTTGTAAAATATATCTTGATATACTCTGAAAAACCATAATTAATTAATACACATTTAAACAGATTCTGTTGCATCCAAAGCTTGGTTTAAATTCTGTTGGCTGATGGGACCAATGTTATTGCACAGTAATTTAATTATAATGATGGATAAAAAAATTAGAATGGCTGCATCCCAACGATATAGTAACAAAGTGAATGAAGCACATAAATTACTTTTTGATTTCTATACAAAACAAAATTTAATATTTTCTGATAAAAAAGGAAAATATAAATGGTAAGTGCAAGAAGGCAAATATAAATATTTTTTAAACTTTTGTAATTAAATTTTTAGCTACAATGAACAAAAGCTTCTTAAACTGCCTTATCATGCATTTATGATTGAATTAAGTAATAATCAACAACAATCAATAGCAGCAACAACAAATTCATTTACAAATTCAATATACCTAACTGATTTACAATGGATTCATGATAAATTAGTTGCAACTGGATGTGTTCAAATACTTAGTGACATATTTTTAGCTGAAAGCCAATTAAATAAATCTGGTTTAAAATTAGATAGTCAGGCTCATTTGATAATATTGAAGCAATTTATTGAAACACATGTACCGGAATTAAATTATGATGGTGACCAATTTTATACTCTATTCAATAGCTACATACAAAATTCATCAAAAACAAATCCAATCATATTAAAATCAAATATTATAAATAAATGGAAAGAATATTTAATTGGTATTAAATCAACGTATTTGGAAAGATTAAATCAATTAACACCCAGTAATGAAGAACAAAATGGTCCAAATATTGATGATAAAACAATAGATGATAATGACAAAAAGACGCGTTTTGATAATATCATGAATTTAAATGGTAAAGGATATTTTGTTGCATCAATAAGTACATCACGTGAAGAAATTTGTGTATGGGATGTTTCGAAATGTAAACGGGTTCGCACATTAAAAGGCGTTCCACAACCAACTTCTATGTGCCCAGTTGGTGATTATGGAGCAGCTGTATTATGTAAACGAGAAATCAAAGTTATTGATTTAGATCAGGGAAAATTCAAGGTTAATATTTTGTTTTACGGAATACATTTCAATATATTCTATGCTTTGAAATTACTCATATATTGCCGTATTATAGGTTACATTAAAAGGAGTTATGAATCAGAAAATGCCATATTTTGGCTTACATAATTCAACGCATTTAGTTTGTTTGTCACGTAATCGAATGTATGTAAACCTTATGAATTTAGAAACTGGCGATTGTGTAACAACATTTAAAGCAGGTGAAGATAGATTCTTAAATTCATTATTAGTCTCAGGAGATGGAAGGTATTATATTTAAAATTTAAACATCAAGAAATTCCTATTACTATTTCAATATTTTTAGAATTCTTGTGTGTGGTGATGAAACACAAAAACCTTTTCCATTATTGGTTTGGCATTTATCACAACGTAAATTACTTTATGATTTACGTATACCACATCATGATTTTATAACATCATTATCAGCAATCACGCATGAAGGTTCATATGTATGTGTTGTTGCAAAAGAATTAAATGAACCGACACCAAATTTTATTGTTGTATATGATTTACAAAGTGGAACATTATTTAAGAAATGGAAACCGTCCTGTAATACTGTATCATTAGCCATATCACAAACAAATGCATGTGTTATTGCTGGTCTTGAAGATGCAAGAATATTAATATGGGATTTAGTAACTGGTAATTGTCGTTGTACATTACAAGGACATAATGCACCAGTCACATTATTGAAACTAGATCCATTAGGTAAAATATTATTGTCAGGTGATGAAGAAGGCAGAGATATGTCAATAAGATTATGGGAATTGGATACAGGTAAAATAATTTAATAATTCGTTTTTTTTTTCGCAAAATTAAAAAATTGTAATACAAATTTTTTGTTTTTATTATTTTTAGGAAAATCTTTAGCTGTTTATACACCACCAGCGAAAATTTCCACTTGTGAAATATTACCAAATGGAAAATATATCATATTAGCATTACAAAATCATATTAATTTAATGACATTAACATTACGAAATTATTTAGAAAATGAAGAAAAGGATATGGAAAATGTTATATATGGTAGCGCAGATAACGATGGCAAAATATTTGATTTAAAAAATGAAAACTAAAAGAATTTTAACTTACAAAAAAAATTTAGAAAAGACAAATTAAAAGGAAAATAGAAAATTATAGAAAATTGAAAAGACGAAAAAGCAAAAAAAATTATAAAAAAAAAAAATCATAAATTTGTAAATATTTTTTTTGTCTAAAAATATTTTTATTACTACAATTAATTATTTAAAAACAGAAACAATGTCGCTTTAAAAAAAAACCCTATCGCCAAAAAAAAAAAGAAAATATCAATGAAATTTCATTAAAATTTGCCAGTTTTTAAATATTTATGCTTTTCTTTTTAAATATTTTATTCAATAATCATTGATTATAGTTAAAAAAAATACAAGTAAATTTAATTATAAGTATATGAAATTAACTTTAATGTAATACGAAAATTAAAAAAAAAACAATTAAAGATTACTTAAGTAATCATTAAATTTGAAATCAATATGAAAAATCCCAATGTACAAGTATGAAATACCCAGAATTAACAAAAATTTATAGTATACGGTATATCCTTATATTTATAATTGCATTGTAATATATATTCCAACAAAATTCAGCAGATTATGACCTGAATTGTATACAGCACTATTTAGATGTCACACGAACTGCCTTCATAATTCGAATGATTAAGGCAAGAATAAAGCAGAGCAATACAATACTCAGACTAAAGAAATCTAAATTTATGTAAACTAAAATTAAAAAATATTGTACTGACTGCGCTAATAGTATCAAACGATCATTAATGTATAAATTACATAAATACAAAAGAAAAAATACTAATATTTCAAATATTTTCCAATGAACACAAATTTTGTAATTTTTATCCAAAATCTATTAAAATGTGGTATTTTCAATTAAAAATATACTTCTTTTTAAATAATCTAAATTTATAATTTATTATAACAAATAAATATTGTTCGTATTACAATTAAAGTTAAAATAATTATTTTTAAAAATAATGCTGGCATTTATAACATTTTACAAAACATTTTATATTTATTAAAAATAAAATTAAAAAAAAAGAAATTTAATTTTAAATTGAAATCAACACAAAAAAATAATTATAGAAAAAATAAGAAAAAAAAACAAAATATTTCAATTGACCAAGACTTATGATATTTAAAAACACAAAAAATGAAAAATTATTTTAATTAAGATTAAATTTAAGTTCAAAAAACAAAAGAAAAATAAATTATTTAAAAAAAAACTATATAAGAATAAATTAAAATTAATTATTACAAATATATAGATGACATACAAAATCATTAAAATTAATTTAAAATATAATTATGTTAAAAAAATATTCAAAAACGTAAAACACACAAAAGAAAAAAAAACAATCGCAGAACATTAAATATAAAATAATTAAGATTTAAGAACAACATTTCTAAATTTTAACTTTTAAAATTAACTGTTAAAGTGTAGTATAAATTGTATATTTTAAAAATAAATTCTATTAAATATTCATAATAATTTACTACGGATAAATATTCTTAAATTAAATTGAAAATAATAAATTATTTATTTATTTATATAAAATTATATAATAAATTATGGATTTACAAATTTAATTTACCAGAATAATATGTAGTACCAATAGAATTTATTTAAATAATAATTTTTATTATTTTTAATTTCATCTATTATTCTAAAGCATTATGACTTTTACAAATTATTTCAATTATTATTTCATATTTTAAATAAACTATATGAACTGTATATCATTAAAAAATTAAAAATTTTTTGTTTTTGTTTAACATATAACACGTGCTTCAAATGTAAATTTACAATTATATTGTTGTTTCTTGATGTTGTCGCATTTTCTAGTTCGATTTCTCATAATTTACTCTTCTAGTGAACTTTTAATACTAATCATATTTATTATTTTATTTGATTAAATGCAACAATAGTATTAAATTCATTTTCTGTAACAACATTACTCTGCAAGCAAATTTAATATTTTTGATTGTATTAATTAATTCTTAATAGATTAAGATAATTTTTACTAATTAATTAATTTAGAAAAAGAAAAAAAAAATTTTAATTTCAATTCGTTATTAATTGTAAAATATGTATGTATATTATTGCAGAGAAATTTCGACTACTTTGGATCAAACTGATCTAATTCAATACATCAATCAAACTGATGAGATTCGAGGATATTGAATTTGTTTAAAACATCAAAATTTTAAAATTAAATACAACAATACGTAATAATAATTTGAATCTTAATTTATATATTTTTAAAATAAAATAAATTTATAAATAAGTATCCGTAGTAAATTTAAAAGCACAAAGTAAAATGTCAATATATGTAATAAAAATAAATTACTAATGATTTTAGCACAAAGCGAGAAAAAATATATTATTTATGAAAATAATTAAATATTATTACCATTTATATAGCTTAGTTATATACATTATGCTTCAGAATGGGATATTATTCTCAATATTTAATAATATACTATAAAAATATATTTTGCAAATGTTATTAAACTTTTAAAAAGCAGCACTTTATAGTTTTAATTTACTATGTAATAATAATTAATGATGCATGCAATCATAACTAAAATATTTAAATTTATATATTATTAATTAATTTAAATTTTAATGCTTCAAGAAAACTATTGTATACTGTTATGTTCCTATAATTAAAACAACTATATTAATTTAAAATTCAAACACATAAATAAAAAAAAATTCAATATATAAAAATAATATTCCATTCTGATATTTCCTTTTTTTGTTTGTTCCTTTAAAAAAGCACAATTTTTCATTTAAAAAATTAATTCTTCTAAAATATTATGTTATATAAATAAATATTTTAAATTATAATTAATAAAATGAGTAAAAATATTTATTTTGTTAATTATAATTTTGACTAAATATGTAAAGAAAAACTATAATATTAAAAATGTCACAGAAATTATTAGAATAAAATTATTTTCTTTTTTTAATAATTCCAGTATAACAAAAAAATTTAAAATATTGACTTATAAATTTGGAAAATGAGGAAAAAATTAATACTTACTAAACAATAATTAAAACTTTCAAAAAAACAAAGAAAAACAAAATTTAAAGTAAAATAAATTTAAAAACGTAGTCAAAAATTTTAAAATTTGATGTAAAAGCACAATATTTGTATATTACAATTTAAAATCACCTAGAAATCAAAAAAATGTTTTTTAAACACTTAAATTTAAAACAATATTGTCATATATAACTTTCCTTTCATAAATTCGATATAATTTACAACACAAGTTTTGCTATGTTTTAATTAAATTTGTGAAAAATATTAAGAAATTTAAAAATTTCGTGGTCGTTTCTCAGTATGTCAGAGATTTGACGATCATAAGATCAATCACATGATTTTTCAAATGACAATTATCTGCAATTAAATAATTTTCGCAATTAATATTTTGAAAATTATTTTAATAAAGTAGAAAATTTAAAATTTAAAATTAAAATGTTTAATCATAATTAATTTTTCCACATGTAAAAATAACTTTACTTTTAAGGAAATGCAGAAAAAAAATTAATTAATTCAGTTGCGTTGGCAATACAACGTCATGTCGTGTTGTAGTAATTCATAATTAATGTCAGTTGGACGCATTTGATATACTGAGAAATGGCTTGTAACGTGTGTAGGAAATTTTTTTTGAAAGAAAAATAGTTCTGGTATATTTAATTTCCCAAACAAATTTTAATAATCAAAATTTGATGAGTAGAAAAATTCTTAAATGTCAGTTTATAGAAAAGTTTGTCGCACTTTCGTGTATCCTCAAAAAGTTTATATTTTTTAAATCTTTTAATTTATTGATGCGATTTATAACTATAATTAAACAATATTTTATTATGTGTTTATATTGAAATTTTAAAATAATTTTATATTTTAACAAAATTCATTTTTCTTTAATTTTAAAAATACATATATAAATTTTAATATTTACTTAACAATATATAAAAAAAAATCAGTATAGAAACAAAATTTCCGAAATTTTAAAATCATATAATGACCGTCAAGCTCAAAAATTATGTTGTGAAAATAATTTCGATATAAATATTATGTATTTATATGTACATATATCTGTACAACAAAAAAAAAATTAATATATTATGTAAGTGTATTTCCAATTTAATTAAAAATTATAATTAGAAATTTTAAAAATTTGAAATTTTATTTTTAAATGCTTTAGAAATGAATATATATATCGGTTTAAAAATATTCAATTTCAAATTTTTAATTTAAAATTGAAATTTAAAAAATTATTTTAAAACATAATTTTAAAAATTTTTTAACTTTAAAAAAATTATATTAAAATTTTTTTTGAATTACTAACAAAAACAAAAATTAAGTCACAAAAATACATAAATTTCAAAAACAAAAAGAATTTTAGGTTAAAAAAAGTTATTGAAAATACAAAATTAAAATTCTTTTAATACATTTTCTTTTCACTTTAATTTACTGATTTTTTTGTTACATACAAAATTTTGAATTTTAAAAAAAATTTGTACTAATTTTTATTTGTTTAAAATTAAATTATTAAAATTAAAATTATTTATTAAAATTATAATTAGGTCTTTTGTATGAAAATTAAAAATAAAAATGCTTTAGAGAAATTTTTCATATTATTTCACATATTTATGTATTTATAAATTTTCAATTCTTACCATCACTGAACTCATCAAACAACACTATTCAACAAGAAATGTATGATTATTATTTAATAATTAGCATTAATTATTTCATTCTAAAAATTTTTGATAGAACATTTTTTTTAGCATATTTGTTTTTAAATTAATACTCGTATAGGTTATAATCGCTTCAAATTTTTTTCCTCATAATTTAATCTAAAAAAAAAATAATAATTTGAATTTATATTTCTTTAAATATAAGAAATTATCCAATAATAAACAGATATAAACTACCTAAGTAAATAATTTCATTAAATTTATGCCATAGCTGCAAATTAATTGTAAATTTATCAAATTAAAATTTATTCCATCAAAGAAATTTTTGTTTAATTCAAAGCCTCCTCAAATATCTTGCTAATTCACAAATTACAGATTAACTTATTAAATATTATAATTATTTAATAAATTAATTTTAATAAATAAAAAACTTATTAAATACTTTATTTTTGATATTCTTAAATAATTTTATATTTCATACTTTCCTGTAAGTTTTCAAAATAGAATTGGAAATTGAAAATAGTTAAATTAAAATTTCATTTCAAACATATTGTTCCGATAATATTAAATACATATATACTTAAAATGGAAAACAAATACAAAACAATAAATATGAAAAAAAGAAGAAAATTTTAACAAATAAAAAACTTTAAAAAAATCTACTACTATTGCATTTTAAATGATGAAAACAAAAAAAATTAAGAAAAAAAAAAAGAAATATTTTTAATTTACATAATAAAAAATCATTAATTTAATTAAATGTTAGAGTAAAATTAAATATTAGATGAAAAGAAGAAAAAAACTACATAACAATAAAAAATTAAATAAAAAAAATTAACATTAATTAAATTCTCTTTAACTGTTAAATGCATAACTATAAAATATTTGTAAAAATAAAATACTAAAACAAAAAAAAAATAAAAACAAAAAAAATTATAAAAAACGATATAGTTAATATTTAAAAATGAAGAGTACATTAGAAATTTAGGAACAACAAAAATACAAAACAAACAAACAAAAACAAATGAAAAACTCATCTGGAATGAGAGATAGAGATGTAGTTTTATTTATTTTAAGTCAAAAATACTATATACATATACGTATATGTAATATATTCACAAAAACAAAAAAAGATATGTGCGAAAATCTATACTTGTATACATATACGATAATACATTTATAATTATAAAATACCATAAATGTGACATTAAAATTTAAAATATAATTAATTACATTAAATTGTAGAGGCTGGCCCTTTACGTTATTTAAAATTTAAAAATATAATGTTAAGAAAATTATAATTATTAACAAAAAAAAAATAAAATAAAAGAGAAAAACAAAAAAAAACATAAAAAACAAATCCAAAATCTGAAAAAAATGAAATCACTTGAAAAAATTTTTAATAATTGTAAATTATAAAAAATTGAATTAAATTACCGGGAATATGGCAATTGAATACAAATTGAAGGAAAACGATTTTTGAAAACAAGAAAAAAAATTTTTATTTAACATTTTTTTTTATATTTTATAACAGTAAAAACATAAAAAAAAGGTTGGAATTTATGGAGAAAAAATTATGTGCAAAACAAAAATAAAAAACATCTTTTATAACAACTTTTTTTTGAATAATTTTTCTAGTTAATTTATGCTTTTAATTTTAAAAAAAAATTATTAATAATCTTCAGAATTCTGTAATAGAGTTTCTGTAAAATAGTTAAGCGTTATGTACAAGTCACTACTTTTTTAAATTAAATTTTATTAAAATTAAATATTATTAATTAATTTATAAATAAAAATTTTTATCTTATTTTAATATTAACATTAATAATAAAATAATTGGAGAAAATTTTTCTTTTCAATATAACAAAAAATTTTGAAGCATTTACATAATAAAATATAAAAAAGAACGTAATAAAATAATTACGTTAACAGAACACGCAAAATAATACAAAATTTTCATTTTGAGTGTTATGCGTCTCTTGCATAAAATTGCGAGACGGAAAAAATGAGAGTAATTGTATGCAACTCAAATATATTTTTCTTTTATATTAAATTAACGTCTCGTTCCCACCTTTTATTTTATTATTTGAACTTAATATTATTAAATTTTTAAAGTATATTTTCATTCAATAATTTTTTTTTATGTACATTTTATGAATTCGATAAAATTGGCTAAGCGTAAATTTTAATATCAAAATCAATTAAAATTAATTATTATATTAATTAGTAGATTAAAAATTAATTGAATCTAGTTTGGAAAATTTTAAATTAAATTAAATTTAAAATAAAAATATTATTAGATCTAAGCATAACTAGGAAAATTATACTAAAAAAAAAAAACAAAAGAAAGAGATGCAACCAAATTATAAAAAAAAAATAAATATATATACATTTTTTTTTCGATGTGTGTTCCAGTAAAATTTAAATTAAAAAAAAATTATAGAAAAAATAAAAATAATTAAAAATAAAAAATATGGAAGAAAGTGTTAAAAAAATATAAAACAGAAAAAAGAAACAAACAAAAATGATGAAGAAATTGGAATTAAAAATAACAAAAATAATAAAAAAAAATCTACAATAAAATAAATTTTTAATTGTGTTTTATTTCTAATTTGATTGCCAAGTACCAGCTACACTATTTATTTTTTTTTTGAGGGTTTTGATTTCAATATAAATGGTTTTCAAACCTTGTCGAATGCATTTGAAAATCTGCTGGGAGATCAATGAATATCTTTAATAAAATGATAATTTTACAAAATGTAGTTGAATGCAATGGGGCCAGCTAATGATCAAATGGAAGAATGCCTAATTATTAGGTTTGCTATGCACATTAAATTTTTCTTATAAAAATATTTTCGAAAAAAATCTCATTCATGTCAACAATTTTGTTGAAAAAAAATCATCAACTTTAAAAACGTATTAAGTCAGAACTGGTTGATAGAACTGAATTGTTTATATAACTGAAAAAGGTATTTAAATGGACAAAATTGTGCTCAAAAAGTTAATTTGTTTGATTTTCAAATAATATTCTATAAATATTTTTTTTTTGTTTTTTATATATTGGAACACATTGTGTACTGGGGAATTTAATTGCGTACTGGATGTATTATGAAAATTGTACCCCACAAACGCTGAAAACATAGATTCAATTCAAAAATTACTCGTTGTAATAATAACCACGGTCCGAAATTCATTCTACAATAAAAAAATGCGAATACTAAATGTAGTGCAAAGATCTAGTTTTAAGTTTTTTCTCTGCCACAAGACATGCTTTTTTTTAAATTTAAAAATTTTAAAATTTGAAAATTTAAATTTTCTTAAAAATGTTTTTTCCGAGCCACTGATTATTTAGAACCTCCAGAATTTCCAGACTGCGTAAATATAAAAAACTTAGCTGAAGTTTTTCCAAAATCTTTAAAATCGCAGCTTAGAAATTCAATATTGAATTTTCAGCGTAACGTAAATAAATGTAAACACTCACATAGTCACATTATATATTTTCAAATAAAATTTGTGTTAAAATTTGTATTGTCTTCTTGTAAGTGAATATTATTTCATAGTAGTCAATATAATAATATTGGGCTCACATAACTGATCGTTAATGTGTGTGCATATTAATACAAATGCAAGTCCACTAAATAACTTTTTTCGATTAGAAAAACTTGATACACTGTTTTACGAATTTCCTTAAAATTTTAGTATTGCACATTTATCATAACTACTTAGCAATAAAACTTTGACCTTGATACATATATAATTTTTCTATATTCAATTGCTACCACTTGAATGTTCTACATACTTACTATCACTTATATTATTATCTGTTTTATATTATCATTATGATTCCTGGCAAAATAAATTTTTGCAGATAGCCGATTTCCATTATAAATCGACAAGATGTACCTTCCTTATTATTCATGTATAAAATTATTCTAATTACCTCACTCTTTATTTATTTTGAAATTCTTTAAACCGTAAAATTAAATATCCTTACGATATAGACAAAATTTATATATATGTACGTACATATGAGTAAAGAAAGTAAACCAAAAAAGAAGAAAGACAATTTTTTGTTTAATTATTTATAAATTTTAATATTTGTACAATTTTCACCACAACTTAAATATTATAAAAGAAAAAAAAATGCATTTTTACATTTTTTTTTTTATCGTCTCTTTTTTTCATCACTTACATAAAAAGTAATAAAAAACCACTCATAATCATTGACACAAACCATTTAGCTCATTATATTTCTTGCGCTTTTTTTTCTTGCTCTCTTTCTGTTGCTATGTAACCGTACTCATGTTCTAATGTGTATGTTACTATACAATATATTTGAAAAAGAGGATAATTAAACTGTAGAATTTCTCATACTTTAAATATTTTATTTGGTAACAACAGTTGTTGTGTTTTCCTCTGTTGCTCCTTTGCTGTTTTTTAAATATTTACTCACTATCATATTTACCCATTATCATTTTTATTACTAACATTTATTTTTCTTCTTGTTTCTACACCATTGTTTTTGCCTTTACTTTATGTTTTTTTTTCGTTTTCATATTTTTAAAAACACTCACCTAGTTTTTTTTTCATTCCTTCTATACTTAATAAGTGTAATTGCGAGTGAAGGGAGAAAATTATCTTGTACAGCTTTTCATACACTAAATTTCATTTTTTATGTGCATTCGTGTGTATGCTTTGGTCGCGTGAAAACCAAAATTTTTCGTTTACCCGCTGGGAAAATTTAAAACAAAAAAAAAAAAAAATAAAAATATAAAGCAAAAAAAATTCTTTTTGTTCTTTTTCTTTATTCTAGTGAAAAAAAATATTTTAATGTTCTAATAGTTTTCTGGACAAAATACAAGAAAAAAAAGATACAAATTGAAAAAAAAAATCACAATTTCTTTATTTAACTTTTATTGCAAATTATTTTCTTTATGTTAATTAATTTTAATTGCATATATTTAGGCTAAAATAAGAAAAAAACTTTACTGAAAGAAAAAATTTTTCTTTTATAAATTTTGTTGCAATTTTTTGAAATTACGTAAACTATTTGAATTGGTGAAAAATCATTTAAAGAGAAAATTTTCAGGGAAAATTTAATTTTAATATAAAAAGAAAGTGAAAAAAAAATTTTTGTTTTTTTTTTGTTTGAAAAGTGCTCATAAAGAATAATAAATTTTTCCAATTATTTTCTTGTTCATTTCACATAAATTTTACATCAATCTAAGGAAAAAATTCCATTATTCATTTAAATAATTTATGACTTTCTGTTAAAATTTTTATAAATTATCAAAAATATTTAATATACACAAAATATATATATATATAGATATAGAAAAATAAGTACATATAATTTAAGATACACAATATAATATAGAATAATGAATCGTTTTTCGCTTTATTGGATATTATTTGCAGCCATATTGATCCATAAAAGTAAGTTTTTCTTTGAATTAATCAAAAAAAAAAAAATAACAAATATATACTACAAATATATGAATATATATATATATATATATATATATATATATATTTATTTTACTTTTCAAATATAAAAATTAAATTTTCATATACCATAATACCTTAAAATCCTGGATTTCTAAAAGTATAATTTATATTTAATGGTTGAAAAAGTCCCAGACTTTTAATAAAACAAAGAGGAAAGAAGAAAAATTATGAGCAAAAAAAATATAGAAAAAAACAACAACACTATAACTAGAGAAGGAGGAAAAGAAGATGCTAGATGATGTTGGGATATCAATCATTTTTAGCTTTTTTTTTCGCACTGTAATTTGTATAAAGTAAAATAATGAAATTTTGACCCAAATTTTTTCCTGAATTCTAAGAAATACAAAAAATAAGAAATACAAGAAATGTGTACACAAAATGAATAACTATATAAAATAGATCCACATTGATAGTTCTTCTAAAAAATAAATTTCGTTCAAATAATTCGATATGAAAGAGATTCGAGAGTTTTTATTTGGTCTATATGCTCGTGCTATAAATGTATTTTAGAGCTTGTATTAAAAGTAAATGGTTGGTAATATTGAAAACTAAATGGTGTCCGATTAAAATTATAACTTTCCGATTTTTATATATCAATGAGGTCTATTTCTTAAATCCAACGTCATTTCAAGTCTCTTACAAATCCATTTAGTATAAAACTACCTTTCAAAATAGTTGCTTTTGAAAAAGGATTTCGAAGTACTTTTGTGTATATTCCAAAATTTGTCATAGAAATATACCGAAATATTGTTATTCCAAATTTAAATACCATAAATTTCGGAATATAACTATATTTTCATGAAATTGTATCCGCATACTTACATATAACGAAGCAAATCCTAAATTCTTTCAATAAATCTCGAAATATAGAAAACAAGTCAAAATTCTATATCTTTCGTGTACTGCAATCAATTACATAGTACCTTCTTGAACACAAGACAAAAACAAAAAAAAAAGGAAAAAATTAATGAAAAAAATTTCAAAAGAAAAAATTTTTCATACAGTATCATATTTTTCTCTATTCTTCTGCTCCTTTCTACGTCCTTTATGTTTTCATATATATTCACAGTATATGTATATACAAAAAACATAAAATAGATTTTTACATTAATTTAATATACACTATGTACAATATACTTAGACCAATATAGCATATACACACATCATTTATTTAAATAGATCTATCAATCTCTATATTAGCATCAACATTTTTTAGAGTGTTTTAAAGACAACACAAAAAAAAATATTAGCAAAATTAAATGAGTCAATACTAAAAAAAAATAATATTAACAGAATAATGCAAATAAAAAAAAATTCTCTCAAATGAGGTGGTTAAAAATCACTCGAGAGAATTTGCAAAACATAAAAAAAATTAAATGATTAAAATGAGAGAAATCTTTTTTCACTCATAATATAAGAAAAATGAGAAAAAAATTTCTTTTCTATTTTGACTTTAAAAATGTGGTGGTAGCCATGTGATTTCCTTTTTGTTTACAAACAAATATTTTGAACACGTTTATACATTTTAATCACGTTGTTTTCAATTTTCTCTCTCTCATTCTTTTCTTTCATTTCTCTTCCACATTTCAAAATTACTAAATAATTTATATTAGTATATTACTCGTAACACATCATAACAATAGAAAATATTTTAGGCTTTATTAAAAATTAAAGTTAACAAACCTGGATCATAATGCAAACTCTTTATATCCTTAATATATTATTAAGTTTTCACTATAAAACGAAAACTCGTGTCTTTTGAAGATACTTAAGAATAATATTCGGATATTTTGAGATTTATAACTGCATACTTTTAGGGAACATGTTTAAATGTTTGAGAAACCTTTAAACTTCCTTTTTTATTGAAATTGCTTCTACATAATCTTGGTATTATTAACTGGAAAGTATTTTACCTTAACGACAAACAAGAAAATTGTGCGATTTGTCCTAAATTTCATTTCGAAAACAGAAAACTGGCAGTCAAGAAAGATAAATAAAAATGTAGCATATGTTATTATTAAATTTTTGAAAACAAGAACCATTCGATGGGTAAAATAATGAACTAGGAAAAGCGTTTTGAAACAATTTAATTATTATTTTCAGTGAAAGTTTAAATATAAAGAGTAAAATTTTAATTTTCTGTTTTTTATTTTTTAATGTACGTAAGCACATGTGCATGCAGCGAACTAAAATTATTTTTATTAATTTTAATAATATATTCAACTACTTTCTATTCTTAAATTGTTTCATTATTAAAAATATATTATCTCAAACCATCATCATGGCAATTTCGAAACTAATAACAATATTCTATTTTAAATTTGATAAGAACCTGTGGGTTTTTAATTCTTAAAATTTCTATTGTAAAAAAATACAATCATTTTATACTAGCTAGCTATATATTTTTACTGTCAATTATATTTTCTATCATATTAAAAAATTTAACAATCAAAAATTAATAAACACAAAATTAAAAACTATTAAATTTAATATTTAATTTATATCCTTGTATTCTGTAAATAATATTGTCGGCTTTTTAACATATTAAAAACGCATGTCTTCATCGTCTTAACTCAGCTAAGCTAAATAAACACAAAAGAAAAATAGAAAGAATGAGATTTGAGATAAAGGCAAAAACTAAAATTGAAAAAAAAGAGAAAACATTTTTTTTTTTTGAGTAAATTTTCGGAAGGTAAGCAAGAACTTGTCAAGAAAAAAATAAAGAAAAACGAGGAAATAAGAATAAAAAATAAAAATGTATAAATTGTTTAGAAAAACAAAAAACGTTGTTTAAAATATTCATCATCTTGAAACAGTAACAAGAAAAACCAAAAAAATAAAAAAAAGAAAGGAGAGAAGATAAAAGAAAGCAAAAAATACCCGTATAACTAAAATAAAAAGGATCATAATGTATATTAAAGAGCATAAAGGATATCAGTTATATGAACCGTGCTTATGGGAATAATTATCCTTTATGGGGTTGTACAGTGTTCTATTCCTTTTAAACGGAATATTTATTCATATCTTTTGTTTTTTTGTTGTTTTTTTTTATCAACATTTTTTTTTGTATATTGTATATTCCGGTTTTTATATTTTATATAGATATACAAGTACATATATAAATATTTATACATGCAAAATACTTATAAGAAAAACAACAAAATAAAAGATGGTAAAGAATGGATAACAGAAAATAAGAGTTGAACAAAAAAAATGTGTTAGATATGCAAAAAAAAAGAAAAAGAAACCATAATAAAAAAACACAAAAGATAAACCTGATGGAGCGTCATGCTTTTTTTTTCTTCTTTTACTCTTATGGTATATTTATATGTACATTTGTGTGAATGTGTGATTTATATAGTAAATACATAATATTTATGTACATAAATAAAAATATATTTAATGTTAACAATGCGTTTAATGTTTATTTGTTGTTTTGTGCTTTTTTTTTTCTTCTTTTTATTTTATTTTACTTTGCCTTTTTCCTTTGTTTAATTTGGGTCAATGTTATTCAAATTGTGTTGGTAAGGGTATAAAAGTGAGTGTAGTATGATGATATAGGGTAAATAAGTGTAGCGATTATGTTAAAGGTTTGTGTATGGGGTAAACCATATGTTTTTTTTTTGCTTTTTCCTTCCTGTTTGAATTTTATTTTGCATTTTTCTTTTGTTTTCTTTTTCTTTTTGTTTTTAATTTAAATCTTTAATTTCTCTCAATTCTTGTTTTCTGTTTCTTTGTTTTTTTTTTTGACTTCTCATCTTCTCACAATTAAACTCTTGTCATAAGTCTCTGAGGTTTAAGTATTCTTTTTTTTTCTTGTTTTTTGTTGTGTTATACTGTAATTTTATTTAAACGGTGGTGGTATAATAAAAATAATGTTGATTTTAATAAAGATTTTTAATGTTGATTATAAATAATAAATTTTATAAAGGAAAAAAAATAATTATAATTATAATGATGCGACGAGGTTATTAAGTGAAATGTATAAGATATAGAGTGTCCAAAACTTGGTAGTATTTTTTAAAGTAGGGTGAATGAAGTCACGATAAACAGTAAAATTATGAGGAAGAATATTGTTTTGCTCATCCTCCTACTAATTATAGACTCTCGAAATCGTAATATTTTTATACTGGTTTTAAGTTAGGGCTGCGACAGATAGTTGTGATAAAATTATTCTTAAAACTCATTAAATTTTGTTTTCAATAATATATTGGTTATTTTAATTTTAAGAATTTTTCTGAATAAAATTTCCACAAACTATTGTACCTTATTCACTTTTTATTGCTTAGTCATTTTTTGCTGGAATCGAAATCTTTTATTAATCTCTTATAAATTCTTATAATAAGAATTCTTGAAATTTTATTTTAATAAAAAAAATTTTTGCTATAGTACAATTAATCCGGTGCTCTTTTTTAAAAAGGTGACGTGAATTCTGGTCACTTTGAAACCGGACGGCATATCAATTACTATTCAGTTTTTTTCTTGGAATTCCATTTCTAGTCGCCTTTATTATAGAAGAGCTACCCACTACAAACTTAAATTTAATTGTATTTCTTTTATTTATTTGATTTTTTTCATTTTTATGTTTTGCAAAAGTATGTACATTTTTAATTATTAAATTTTTTGCTCACAAAACATCAAAAGCACTGTACATATGTATGCAATTTATAAAAATATTGCGACACTCAAACGAACCAGAAATAAAAAAAAAATTTCTCACTCCTGGTCTAGAATATGAAATTCTATGTATGCATATATATAAACAATAAAATGTGTATAACAGATATTTTCAATAATTAAAAAAATATTATAATTTTTTAGTTCAAATATAAGCAAAAAAATAATAATCTCCTTTTATACAAATACAGCTTTATTTAGCAATCAGAATTAATTATCTTTATAATGATTTTCTAGTGTTTCAAAATTTT